AGATGAAGAAAGTGAGACTCAGGATAAGTTGTCCTTCTTCTGTCTGGGGGTTCACCTTCAGAAAATGGCCAAGCTGGGATGCAAATTCAGACCTCATGCTTGTGCCTAACCTTTTTCCATCATAATACTGTATCTCTAGTGACATGGCCCAATTACAGGACGGGGAATGGGGACAGAACATAAAATAACGACACAGACGCACACAGACATGAAATGACTTGAGTGTCCAATGCACCGGTAGCTTTATTTTTATACCCCCCCCAGACCCAAAGTTAGTTCCTTGTACGTGAGCAACTGAGCATAGCAGCAATAGCTATCAATTTTGGAGTTGTTTCACAAGGGAACAATGGTCCCATGCTCTCAGACTTCAAAATGGTTACTTAAGGTGCCGGACACAGCTCAAAAGCCAAGGCCGAGATAAGCAACATAAAACAATGCAGCCATTTGAAGTGCCTCTTGTTCTCAATCCCAGGCAGTGGCTCCTCCCTGGCCCCCACAGTTGTGCCTGTCTTAGGTCACCCCTCCCATGAGGAGTCTTACCCGTCATTGACTACCAACCATCAATCAGGGGGCAGTCTTTGAGAAAGTTCTTATCCTTATGGCCTCCAGACTCCCACCACAGGGGCCCTCCATGTGGGAGCTGAGCAACATTTGCTTATGCGCAGACACTCAGGCCTCTTATCATGTCACGAGGCAGCAACCATGTCTGAAGAAAATGCTGACTACCACTGCGTCAGGCAGCACACATACATTATAGGCTATAGTGAATGATTAGTATAAGGCATAACACCAGAATCATCCCCCAACACTCTAGGAACAAAGGTTTGTGGTGAAGAGGAAGGAAACGAGAGTTGACGGAAGAACTAAAACAACTTTCAGAACAGAAATGTACACCTCCTTATCCCAAGCTCTACCAGCTCACCAAGAAGACTGAAACTCTGTCTCACAGCCTCACCTGCACAGGAATCACCTGGAGAACTCAGTTAAAATGCAGATTCCTGGGCTAGAATTCTCTGGACCTAATGAATCCACATCTCCAGAGAAGGGAGCAGGAATGTGCATTTTAATTGCAACCCCACAGTGAATTTTAATCAGTTCTTCAAATGAACCACTAAACTTGAGATTTGGAATAAGTGCAAGGCTGAGTCTCAAAAATCTCTACCAGATATTCCAAGATAAAAAAGAAACTTTAAAGTAAAACCCCAGAAAGGAGCTTTTGCTGCCAGACTCATAACATTTTTATTTTATTTTTTTAGGCAAGCAATTATTATCGACAAACATTTGAAGGAAATCTAGTCCATTTATTTTATTCATTTTGACATCTGCAGATAATAAAAATGCTAGTGGGGAAATCAGGTTTAAGGATTGTAGCAATTAGTTCATTTGTGACTGATTATTAAAAATAATATATGCAGCTCTATGCTTCTCCAGAGGTGAGAGTTACAAATTACCGTGGTTGTTTCTGTTGCCACTGCCACTGCTAATGTTATTGTTTTTAAAAGATTGCAGCCTCCATATGTTTGTTAAAATTAATATTCTTTGAGGTTTCTCAGGTTGCCATAGCCACCCCAGTTCCCTTCTCCCAGCATGATGTGATGAACTAGAAGTCAGAATTGTGAAGGAATCCACATATGTAAATGCAACCTGGGAAGCTGTTCAATCTGGAAACAGCCTCTTCCTTTCCGACAATTCCTGGCTTTGTTCCTTTTGATACAGTGACCAAAATGCACAGGCTTCCAGCTCACTAGCCCTCCCAGTCTTGTGTTGCACACAACACAATCATCCTCTCCTGTCTGTCCTCTGTCCATACCCCTGGCGACCCTTCACCATGCTCTTTTGAGCCTTTATACTATACACATTCTCATCCAACACTCTGGCAACACATCCTCTACCTTCTTTCCTAAACTGAAACCTGGCTTTTCCCTGATCATGATAGTACTGAACTCTTAAGTGTACATAGATCCTGGTGATCTGGTGATATAATTTTTTTTCCCTAACACACCCTTTGTCTCATTTTTCCGCTTCCTCCACCATTTCACCATTTCCTTTTTGGGACTCCTCCTTTTAACCACCTCCATCTAGTCATGCCATTCTTTTCAGATCTCAATCTTTGTTTTCTAACTTCTGTGGGACCCCCTAAGCTTTCCTTCCCTTATCATCCCCTTGAGAAACTACACAGGTACTAGACCCCATCTTCAGCTACTTTGTCTCTTCTACTCCAAAGCTGTTGCTTCAGTTCCATCTCTTGTTGATTTAAGCTCTACCTATAGGTCCAGTTCAAATGCTTCCACCATTATGACAAGTTTTCCACAACTTGGCTGACATGCTGTCTGCATCCACAGAGTATATGCAGCTGTAGGATATACTGCTTAGGCGTGTGGTCTCTGGGTGAGACTACATAGGCAAAGTCCCAGCTTTACCACATAGTGCCATCGTGGCTCAGGGCAACCTTTCTAGGTCTCAGTTTTCTCACCCCTAAAATGATGACAGTAATATCATCTATATCACAGGGGTCATTATGAAGATTAAACAAGATAACTCCTAGGTATAATTCAGACTGGCTGAAAATAAGAGAAAACCTAACTTATCTGAAAGTCCAGAGGAGAGGAAATCTTCAGGCTGACTTTGATTCAGTGACTAAGCTAGAAATCAAGAATCTGGTTTTCTCCCTCAGCTCTGACTTCCAGGGTGTCAGAAGTCTGGCTGTCCCTGATAGTTACAAGAGGCTATCACTGGGCTACAGCTTCTTCCTCCAAAGGAAAGGAATGAACAAAATGATCACATCAAGAAGTTCTCCCAGAATAGTGAGAGGAAACTTTTCCACACATTCTCAGGAAAGCTCTCATGGCCTGTTGTCCAGATGTGAATAGCATGCCCATTCTTGAACCATTGCTGGGGCAGAGGAATTCCATGTGCTAATTGGCTCAGACCTGCTCAAAAGATCAATCATGAAGTGAGGGTGGGAGGGATTACAAATCCCGAAAAATATCTTTCCACCTATAAACTGCACAATAAGTATAGATTAGGAATGGATATTAGGGAGATGGCATAACATCCACAATGGAAAGTCATGTCTTTAGCTAATGATGGGCAATTAGTAAAAACACTATACTGAAATTAGCAGTTATTATTATGTCATTTGTACTTTTGATGACTACTTTCATCCTTGTTTATGTTATCATTTATTGTTTTTACATGATTTCTTCTCCATCCCCTGTGCAATGTGCTTTACTGACATTTTCACCGCTAACATACACTCAACATGAACTTTTTGCTACTAATACACCCACTCTGTACCTAGAAGCATGTGTACAAAGAAAATAAAAAAAATAGCTTCAATACATTCTGGTTGAATAAATGAATAGACTATAAAAGTGGTCCTACCCAGTGTCAAAGTCTCTCTTTCACAAGAATTAGGGATCACTCAATGTTCTTATGTCCTTTAATACAGAAAGATTTAACACATTTTAAAAATATTCTTTCTTATACAAAATAATATTACTAAACTACCCCTGACTACAAAAGCCCAGGGAGCAAGTATGCTGTTGATAGTTTCTACCCGATCAGTAAAAGCTTATTCTTTACCTCAATTCCATGCAATTTATTCTTTTTTAGTTTTCTTTCACAATGACTTTTGAGGTACATAATTCCATTTGACCAGACTAGATACAGAAAAGAATAACATGAGATACATTATTTGTTTTGTTAGGTGTACCCTCATTATAAAACTTCAATAGGAATATTTGAATCAGTAAATTTTAACTAAGACCCTATAGTTTTCAAAACCATAAATTATGAGGAAAAACTCCAATATTATATAATGTACAGTTATAAGATATTTACATGAAAAAGAATTCCTTGTTAACATTTATCTTGAAAATGTCTTATTTGCCATAAAATATACTTCATCAATTTTATACCAACATATATATGCTTCATTCTGCCCTACTTTTTTAAGCAAATCACATTACTTCTAAACAAGTTTATTTGAATGCTTCTTACAAGTAGGTGATATTAGCAATTCTGTAATAATTCAACTAACAAAAGTATATCTGTAATTTTTAGATAGATATGGCAAATGGTACTATATGTGAGTTGTTTTTATAGAAAATGCTTTGTATTTTTTTAAAGCCTGCAGGACTCCAGACTTGTATTACCGGAATATTATCTAACTTCTTAAAAACATAATATTATACTTTGAAATGTCTTTGAGAAAAGAAAAGTGTGTGAGAGAGACTATAAAACAGACTGGCCGTCTTAGAGCAAAATGAGAGAAAATGTGGATTCTCTGTCTTTTAATGGGAGGCTGTAGCCGTTCAGAACCTTTGCTTCTTGTCAGTAGAGAACATGCAATGAATTTTAAGAGTAAAATCTGATGAAAGAGTACAACAAGAAATGTTTAGAGAATATAAACTAGTCAGACCATTTAAACTTCATGAAAAAGATAGCAATAAATTTTAAATTCATAATAGCACATGAGCCCAATCTAGGTAGCACTACATATAGAAAGCTACACTGTACATTATACATATAATAATCCATATGCATAACCAGTCACATTTTTATTTTGCATGCCTCTTAAAACTGCCATTTGGTTTATCTCTAGCTGCAAGCTTTTCACCATCTAATACAAAGCAACTTTTCACCATCTAATACAAAGCAACTTTTCACCATCTAATACAAAGCAAAACTTCAAAAATAATAAAACAACAGGAAGGATAGTTCATGCAGTGAATAATAGTATGTCCCTACAGACTTTGATGCCTGATCCAACTCAATGAGGTAGATATTATTACCTGAGGCCAAGAAGTTAAATAATTTTGCTCTATGCTTCTGAGTATTGGGAATCATGTCCCAAAGCCACTGACGGTGTTGTAATATGAGGTCTAACCAATAAATCTCTTTCCCAAAGCAAAATCCAACAGAGAAGATAGACACCATTGATCTCACACAGCCAACTAAATAGCCCAAAGGTTGAGCAATGTAAGTAATTCCATTACCTCTGTTGAATTTGGGTGATGAATCACTTGGGTGGAGCCTTTGCCGTTTCCTCAGTGATCAGTCTGTTTGATGGAACAACCAACCCATAATCCCTGCAGTCTCCACTCTGGGTTCTGTGGCAACCCTAAGTATAAAACAGAGATGCAACCAGTTCATTGGAAAAGGCACTCTTTATAATGTTTATAAAACCACTTATTTCCAGGAGACGCACATGACAAATAGACTTACAAGGAGGTGCTCAATCTGACTCATTACTCAAGAACAACAAATTAAGGCAAAAATTAAATGCTATTTTTACCCGTAAAATTTAAACAATATGAGGATTTGGGGAAAAAACACAGGAAAATTTCTCACTTATGGGAAGATAAATTGATGCACTCTTGTTCGATCTAAATTTTAAACATGCATACATTTTGAAACATTAATTTCATTTCTATAAATGTATCCCTAGATAAGTGTTCAAAGATACATATAGAAGATATTATAGTGTTGAATAAGGAGGGAGCTAAATTAATTATAGTAAACCCATGCAGTTGAATGTCATGAGGCCTCTAGAAAGAATAAGGGAAATCTATATATACTGATATGGAAAATATCACAGTTCTATTATGAAGTGAAGAAAAGTAGTTTAAATAGCAATATCTGTAATATGATTCCCATCTGTATGCTATGATTCTCCTTTGTGGAAAGAGTATATACCTATATATTTACTTTCTTGCAGACATAGAAATTTATGAAAGTACAAAATACTTATAAGTCTATGGAGTAGGACACTAGGGTAGGGTCAACATGGGATATCACAGCACCTTAACATTCCACCTTATGCTTTCTTTACTTGTCCAAAATTTTTACCATGAGAGGGGCAAGAAATTCTCTTCGCCCTTATTTTGCCTGGATGAAAGTGAAATTGGATGGTGAGTGTCCAGGGTAAGGAGGCTGTCAGACACCAGAAATGCAATGAATGTAAGCTGCCCTATTCAAACATGAGTGAGAGTGCGCGCGCGCACACACACACACACACACACACACACAAATATACACGTGCAAATACACAACCCACTCCCTTCCACCAGCTTCTAAAACCTTATGTCATATTACATGCCTCCGATGATGACATGTCTTCGTTATCTTCTATATATCCTTATTTCTACGGAGGGTTTGAGGGAGGGATAGGGCAAGGATAAATTTAGGAATTGTTGTCCCCTGATGTCTAGCTTGTATTTTTCAAAAGGAAAAAATGGAATCTTGTATCTTATTTTCCATTTCCAAAACAGAGAGAAATAAAATCTTCCCAGGTACTATCAGTGACTTAGAAAAAAAATGCTTCAACCTGCTTCCCTACTTCAATCAATCTTGAAAGGACGATTGGAGTGGGAACATTTAAAATTTACCTCTGCTGTTATTGAAAACTGCAAGAATGATGAGATTTTATACATAATGATGTTGAAATAGCACACAGTGAAGTGTGGAGATTCTGACAGGCTATGAGATTTACAATTCCTTTCCTCTGTCCCAAATCACAGAATTAAAAAACTACCTTCCAGGTCAGTGGTTTCCAAAATATATGTTGCTCTCACATACCATACCAGCAGTAAAGAAAATTTGAACAAGCAGTCATGTTTTTATTTATTTACAAGTATTATATCATGCCATTTTACTAATATATTATTATCATTACCAAATATAGAAATAGAAATTAAAGTGGATGAGATTTAAAATATACGGAAAATCAAGTTTCTAGTAATTTTGTTCCCCATATCCAGTGGAACACTGTTCCAAATAACTCACATAGTAACTATCATGATGTCTCACTGTGTATAGCTGCTTATTATAAAATTTACACCCATAAAGTATCACAACTTCAGCCACTACACCACTGAAAAACTTTCAGGACAACTCTTTCTACTAAAATATCTCTTTAAGGGGCCCAGAGGAACAGAATTAAATTGAGGAAATAAATTATTCTTCTTTCAATTTGGAAGGGGTGAATAATATTTAATGAGTGACTTTTAGGTGCCAAGCATTGTCAAGGGCCTTAAAATATCTTATATTTAATTTTCCCAACAACTCTGTATAGTACACCTATTCCCATTTTACAGTTACAGAAACTGAGGATTAAAGTGGCCAAAGATCAGCTAGTTAGAATAGATTCCAAGATCAGAATTAGTTAATCTAAACACTTAATCAGTCCTATTTACTGCCTAGAAAAAGGAAAATATTAGATGTGAAAATGTGCAAACATGGTTACAGAATCTATCACAAAATCTTATGTGGTCAAAAAAAATGAGAAGCAGTTTGAGACCTGGATCTTCTCTCTTCCTGAATCTCTGAGCTTTATCATTCTATACATATACAGAGAGATCTTCCTGTAGCTAAAGATGAAATAGGACTGCACTGTATTTATCACTGGGCACATGAATCCTTAAGAACTTTGGTAGGAAAGGGTTAGCAAAATTTTTTTCACAAGTTTTTAAGTTGTCTCTTTATATCCTCACATTACTTTCTTTAAAGTGAAAATAAAACCCCATGTGATTTGTTGTTGTTGTTGTTTCTTTTCTTTTCTTTTTTATTTTTTATTTCAAGAAAATATGAGAGTACAAAATTTTGGTTGCATTTTATATGTTTGCCTCCTCTTGGCAAGGGTTAGAGGTATGCTCCTCCCCTCCACGATGCTCAACACATCCCTTAGATGTGGGGACTACCCCCCCAACTCCCGAATCCCTGGTGGACACCACCACCATTTGAGCACCATAGTGTTAATCAGTCAGTACCAATTTGATGGCGAGTACATGTAGAGCCCATTCTTCCGATCTTGTGTCACCTCACTGCATAAGACATTCTATAACAAAGACATCTGCCCTCATGTGATTTTTTTAAAAGAAAACTTAAAACTGTGCATATGATTTATGTGAGAAATTCTTTTTAAAATAATTTACTCTGAAAGCGGGGCAGGAGGGATGACTTCCAGGTGACATTTGGCAATGTCTAGAGACAGTTTTGGTTGTCACAACTGGGAGTGGGGGTGCTTCTGGCATCTAGTGGGTAGAGGCCAGGGGTGCTGCTAAGTACCCTGCAACACACAGGACAGTCCCCTAAAACAAAAAAGTATCCTTCCCAAAATGCTAATAGTGCAAGATTGAGAAATCTCGCTCTAAGGAAATAGTCAATGATATCGTCAGAGATAACTATCCGTTTGTGTTCCTAACAGCACTATTTGGGATAGTTTAATAATATGAGACTGATTAAATTACAATACTTCTATTTATTAGAAGACCAGCCATTTCAAATGATTTTGCACAAGAATAATTAACTACATGAAGAAATGTTCATGATATTTACATGCTCTAAATAATATACTTAGTATAATTATATATTATAAAAATACACATATATTTGTATATAGGCATAGAAAATAATTTGAAAGAATACTGACCAAAATAGGAATGCTGTGTGTTGCTGAAGAGTGGTAGGGAGTTCCTGTAAAATAATACTTCATGACAAATGTCATCAAAAGTAGCCATACATATCATCCTGAGGAGGAAAAGAGCAGTTGGTCTAAGCTATCATCTCAAAATCTGTATAAGCCTCCTAAGTACGTAAGATTTTGTGTCCTCCCTTTTCAGAATGTGTCATTGGAAGAGTTTTATTTCCTGACATCAAGTTCTTTAATGACAGAAAAGAGAAGCAGCAGGTGTTTCTCACCAGGTGCCTTCATGATGATTGCAGATAGAGTTCAATGGAATATTTTTGTTCAGAGCCAAGATAACACCTACTATTCACATGCCTTCTCTTTAAAAGAGTTTATTGTTACACTGTGAATCAAAAGTAGAATTCCTTGTTTCAACTCACACCAAGAACAGTATGATCACAACACTCTGCTAACTGAACAAATGTCTAAGACATCATGAACACCACATATAGCAGCATATCAGATTGTTTTATGAGTGGAAGGCATTATAATATTGTCTGCTATGCAGCATCTTCACTGCCATATTGGAATTCAGAAATAGTATTGATGTCCCCCCAGAAACACATCCTGGTCAACTATTCTTTATTTTAGTGACCAGCAGCCTCATTGTGAATAGGCCAAATAATATAAAATGGCAGTAGGTCTTCACAAATACCATAATCGAAATTACAATGTTGGTTTATATCAACCAAAAAAAAAAACCTGATAAGTTCGACTTATCGAATTTATCACCAGTATAGTCGAACTTCTAATCTGTACTGATCAGAAAAAGAGGTGAAGTTGGAGGAGAAAGGGAAGGAGGAAAAGAGGACTATCAATTATTTATAAAAGAGCAATGATTATATAAAATAAAATATGCATACTTAGTTTCATCTAAAAGGGATCCAAATGGCTTGCAGTTATATCTGGCACAAGGACCATTTCCTCCATTTCTAAAATATTAAATAAGAACAATATTTGTTTAATAGCTCCAGAAAAGAGAAAGTGCTTTTTTTACAGTTGTTCATCCATACATTATATATAATTTAAAATTGTTGAAAACAGGGTACAATGCACACACTATCTGGGTGATGGACACACATAATTTTGACTCAAATGGTACTATTTATGTAACCAAAACGTTTGTACCCCATAGTATTCTGAAATAAAAACTAAATAAAAATAAATAAAATTGTTGAAAACACATTAACTCTCTGACTCAAGATCATAAAATAATCACATGTACATGGCTTTATTCCCTCCTAAAATCTTGCTGAAATAACAGCAAACATGCATTTTTAAAACTGTGATCAATTCCGGAAATAGAAAATCAGTTTATTAGTGAACCAAACTTTGGAGAAATTTCTGAAAAGCAGAAAGCAAATAGAATTAGATTGATAGAAGAGTCCAAGTAAAAGACAACCCAGGCCCAGCACAATGACTCATGCTTGTAATCTTAACACTTTGAGAGGCAAGACAGGAGGATCACTTGAGCTCAGGAGTTCAAGACCAGCCTGAGCAAGAGTGAGACCCTGTCACTACAAGAAAAGAAAAAATTAGCCAGGCACGATGGCGCATGCCTGTAGTCCCAGCTACTCGGGAGGCTGAGGCAGGAGGATCGCTTGAGCCCAGGAAGTTGCAGTGAACTATGATGATGCCACAGGCATCAGAGAAAG